TCGTACAACCTTGGACGATCAAAGAACTCTTAAACTCTTCGTGCACATGAGAAAAAGGGGGTCCGCTGTTTCTCTGATTGGCACTGACGTTGTGCCCCTACTGCATCTGGATTGCATATATTCATGAGACTTGGATCTACGTAAGTCATGCCTAAACTGATCCAGCGTCTACGATTCCAAGGAGTCAACACGTCGGGAGAATACAAAAATATTCTTGTCGCCGCGATGCTTCTACGTACGTGACATCACTCCGCCTATCTGGGTTCGTCCCCCGTTGTAGTTGTAATGAATGACTTCTGGCTCTTGGCACAGGCTTGGTGCATTTCGCCCGTCCATGTCACGATACTGACACCCGATGGCTTTGTCACCAATCAACCTTGCACCTGTGATATCCCCTGCCGTATATGTCACTATATCGGTTTACTGGAATACCGAAATGCTCTTGAAAGCATGGGTATCCGTGTCCCTTTCCGTCATTAGTCTGCTTGCTCCTCCAATTTATTGTCACGACGTCTGGGTTATACAGAGTCGTCATGTAAAAATAGCGGCCCTTGTTACTCTCTGCTAGTTGCACTTGGGCAAATTGTGGCCCGTCTGGGCTGGCTGGCGCAAACGACTGCTATGAGATCCATCATTCCAAACTCCGCCACGAGCTTGCATTGAGGTTTGCTCCGCGTCATTTTTGGCTAATCAGAGATGCTGCTGAGAAATGAGTTACATGTGTCAATTGATCCATAGAACTCTTTTCCTTTTTTCTCTCCTTCTCTCAACTACAGACAACGGAAAGGCCTTAACAGGTGAGGCTTCCGTAGCTCTTTTTGGTGTACTGATCTTGAAATATGATGATCTTGAAATATGATGATCTTGAAATATGATGATCTTGAAATATGATGATCTTGAAATATGATGATCTTGAAATATGATGATCTTGAAATATGATGATCTTGAAATATGATGATCTTGAAATATGATGATCTTGAAATATGATGATCTTGAAATATGATGATCTTGAAATATGATGATCTTGAAATATGATGATCTTGAAATATGATGATCTTGAAATATGATGATCTTGAAATATGATGAGAATCTTTCGGTATCGCCGATGTGGTAACGCCATAGGTTCAGCCGTGACATGGACCACGTTGATCTAGAACTGCCATCTAATCTTATCAACTATGCCCAATTTTAACTCATTTGTGATTTGACGGGGCTAACCATATAAGGGCTACCATGGGGCGGTCCAGTAGAATTCTTGTCATAGCTGCATGTTACGAGTCCCTAGGCATCGCTCCACCTTTCATGGCTATCTATCGTACTCTACTCCCTCCGGTGATTCTATCTCTGCACATCTTGCCGGGTGCGACTTCTCAGAATGGAAGCCAAGGAACCGCTCTACGGAGTACGTCTCCCTGGAACTGGAGCATTTCGAGCATTTAGTTGGCAGCGCAGCGCCACATATTAGAAGCGCGACTATGAACAAAGAATGGGGCTTGTCAGCCACTGGAGTATATTCTGAGCCGCGTGCAATTCTGCCGGGGACTTAAAGACGTTTAGCCACTCTTCTGGAAGTTATCTTGATGCCCATTTCTATTCCTCCCAGGAACAACTTCAGTTTTGGAAGTGTGCGCGTCAGTCTGAGCATGATTATCGGACTTGTAAGACCCCAGCTCGATTTACACAGGGGCTTGAACCCTGACCAAGATGCCTTCAGGTACTAACTACCCTTAGAATCGGTGCTTCGCAGGCAAATGAGAAGCGACGGCCATTGTGAATTTGTAATTTTTTCTCGTGGTAAACGTAGCAGGAGATGTAGCAGATATCCTGGAACTTGCCAGATATGTCCATCTGGCCAACAACAAACAGTCTGGGTCCGTCAGATACGGTGGTCCTGTGGGTGGTCAGCATTGGGGCCTGGCAACCAAGTATGAATGAGGGTCCAAAGCGACTCCAAAACGCTCCGTTGTACGTAAAAGCGGCATCAACCCAGGCACCCAGTCTCACCAACCCGGCCGTCATTATGCACCATGAATGCTGAGGTCCCTCTCGTGCAGATGCTCACTGAGGGCGTCGACCCGAGTGGCAGAGGCGGGACAGCATTGCAGATAGGGCCTCTCGTGACGACTGCGGGCATAACAGCTGATGTCTATAGCGAATCTCGTCGTCGTCAGGGGCGGGTCGGGACGAGCTTGCGTGGTATTTTATTCCTCTGCTCCGTAGACGACGCAATCCATGACTGAATTTGGCCCATGGCGATTCCCACTTTGAGCAAACTGACTGGTCCAGGTTGAACAACGTGCTGCGTGGGAAGCGGTCGAAAAACAACAGGTGCCTGGCTTGGCTTGGCCTGGCGCGGTCGACTTAGTTCGCCCTGTCCTTTGCGAGGCTGCCGTGAGTCCGTGACTTGAGCAAAGTGATGGCATGACTGAGGTGATTCCGTTGGCGGAGCGTGATGGCGTCGTCATGTCCGTCAAAGGACATCTTCATTTGTATCCATTCGACCGCTCGAGGGCTTCGAATCGAGGGGTCCAGGGCTCCTTCCTTTTCTTGTCTCGTACGACCACGAGACGAGGTCGTTCGTGCCTGCCGTTTCTCATTGAGCTCTCTCAGCCTAATCTTGATCACTGGCAAACTCGTGAATGTTGTAAGCTACGCCGTCCGGGCGTACCCATCCGCCCTCGACATCTTGCTTTTCCTCCTGGCCTCCCCCAACTACACTCTTTCCAACATTATCGATATCATCACCCTTATTACCTCGAAATCCCATTTCGATTTCTCTCGCTTTTGCTCGCGTGCTTGGACCAATTCACCTCGACCTTGCTCTGCCCCACTAGAATAACTACACCATCTGTGGAGAGACAGTCGTCTTCGGCCGCTTCGCTGTCGACTCTTTTCCCCATACTCTCACCGCTTGTCCCTACGTGCAGCCCGCTCCGTCACCGGGACAATCGCGAGCTGTCTTTTTAAGCAGCGATATCTGGCAAAATACACAATTGGCAATTGGCATCGGCATCGTGCTACGGTTTCCTCTGCATCTTCTCTTCTATCCACGCCTCGTTTGGCTCCCTCAAGTGCGAGGTGTTTTGGGTTGCTGGAAAGGCCTGGGCTGCTTCGCTGATCCGCTCTTACACGCAAGGCTCGACCGACTCGACCTCGATTGGATTCCTGCCTTTGGCCGTCTTTGACCACTTGCGCTCGACTTGCCACCACCATCTCCGCCAAAGCCGACAACGCTAGGACCTGGACTTGGACGCCAACACACCAAGTTGACCATCTAACACACCATCGCCGTGTGGCACAGTCCCTGGCTTTGACGGCCAATTGTCACCATCCATCCACCAGCCACCCACTCACGTTGTGGTGCGCTCTCCAGGCCTCACTGCACCTGCACTTGGAAGCCTTGGCGGCAATCGAGCACTGCGGGGCCCAGCTTGTCTTTATCAGTCTACCAACCGTTGAGCTGACTCTTGCTCATCTTGCTTCGGTCTCTTCGCTTTGCCAAATTACTTGTCATTCGGGGCGGCTTCACAGATTATTGCACTTGGCTTGAAAGACCCATTTGGCGGCCTTCTTGTCTCTCTGTTTGCACAGGAACGAACCCATTCACGTTCCTCAGTCTCAACTCGTTCAGGCTCCTACAGCACGGCGTCCCTCTGTTCTCAAAAAGGCTCTGGCTAACAACTCTAGCCGGTCTCCACTCAGGACATTATCCAGGGGTACCAGTCCCGGTACATCTGCGGCCACGCGTTTTGCCACCAACACCTTCGTACCCCTTGCCCCTCCGCCTTTTCGGACCGCCTGCGCCACTTCCGGCACCTAGAAAGGCGACGGGAAGCCAAGTGTGCTACGTACCACGACTACTTAAGCCTGGTTACAGTCTCACTCACTGTCGTCTGTTGGCTGGTCTGAATCGGTGTGAGAGTGTAAGAGTGTGAGTGAATTTCTTTCAGTGAGTGCTCCGGTCCCCAAGAATATGTGTGAGGCCATTTCTGGCAGAAATACAATGCGGGAGTCAACGGACTGGCGTCGTCCCATTTCTGCCTTTCCGTCTCTCTGCGGGCCAATCACTGACACAGTCGATATCCCAGGATTCGCTTTGGTTTTCGACTGCCTTTGTGAGGCTTTGTCATTCTTTTCTCTCGCCTTCTCTGACAGAGTCCGACGCTGCCTGGTGGCAGAGCATACGGAGCCGGTTTTCGTCTGATCAGACTCGATTCCAATAGTTCACTGATCGCACACGGGCTGTTGTTGCGCACTTCCAAATTACCCACAGGCTTTGAACTTGGAGTGACACTCCTGTCACCGCAAAGAGTCGACGGCCTCCGCACCCGCAATCAGCTGAGCACCGTGGCCAAGTTTGCGACAGCTGGAACCATCAGTCTCCGTCGCAAGACCAGTTGACCCTCGGGCCCTGTCAACCATCCCACTCTACGGATACAGAGTGGATCACCTGCTGGCCACTGGACAGACCCCGCCCGCGCCAGGCTGGCGTCTGTTACTCCTCCCCCCCATCAAGTCCACTCACTCTTTGGCGAATCACAGCAGCCGGTCCCCCTTTGGCTGCCCGTGACCTCGTCACCTTTCAACCGTGGTCTTGACTCGAACCAACCACCAAAAGACTTCCCCGGTGCTGGTGCTGGCACTTCGTGCAACAGACGCAAGGCCGTGGCTCTATTCGTTCTCCGTTCTCACCAAATACTTGCCTACATCATTTGTATTTCTATATCGATTGTGAAGGCCAGTGGCCTGTCCTACTGAACAGAAGCCACACAGTCTGGCTCTACAGGCCTGCTTGAACGAACAGAGTTCACGCACGTCGTGAAACTGTTTGCCGCCGCAAACACGGGTGACAGATATATAAACAGCGTGTATCCGAGGAGCTGGGCTCTTCAATGTCACAACACCAACTTTCCCAATAAACACCAATTCCAGACAAAACCCCTAATTCAGCAAGGCTCATTGCCACAGGCCACATCTGTTGAGGTATCGCGCATATCGCCATGAGCCCCTTACCACCCGATCCGTACAAGATCCTTGGAGTCTCCAAAGATGCGCAGACTTCGGAGATTCGATCCGCACATCGAAAACTAGTCCTTAAATGCCATCCAGACAAGGTTCAGGACCCCGCCCTGAAGGCCGAAAAGCAGGACGAGTTTCAAAAAGTACAACAAGCATACGAATTGCTCACTAACGATCGTGAGCGGCAAAAATACGACGACAAAGTCAAGCTCGAAGAACTGCGTCAACAGTTTCAGACCAAGGCCAACATTTCGACTCCTCGATCGACGAGATATTCCGGCCCAGATGAGGCCCGTGGTGCCGAATCAAGGGCTTCACCGTTCAAGGCCAGTGTGAGCCCATCAGGTGTCAAATACTCATATTCTGGTCTCTCTGATGAAGACTTGGGTCGTGGCCCTCGCATTTTTGAGGCTACTCCTCGGTCATCCCGTCGTGAAGCCGGCTATGAGAAGGCGTCAGAACGACGATCAGATAGGGAGCGTGAAAGGGAGAAGGAGCAAAGAGAGCGAGAGCGTCGACGACAGCAGGAAGATGCCCTTAAACGAGCTGAGAAGGAGGCTAAAGAAGCTCGACGGGCTGAGAAACGAGCGCGAGAGAAGCAAAATGCCAAGGACATGAGACGACAGACTGAGGAGAAGAAGCGACACGCAAAACCCTACATTGAACCATTCGACGAAGAACCGACATTTGTCAGGTCCGACAAGAAGAAGTCTAGCGGTAGCAGGAATTATGACGAGAAGCGAGATCGTTCATCAGGCAGAGACGACATCCAGAGAGACGTCCACCCCCCGAGACCTCAGCGATCTTGGACCGCCAAGGAAGAATATGCGACTTCATATATTAAAGCGTCCAAGGCTAAGAGCACACCGGGCCTGAAACGGTCAGCTACTACCCATTACATCCGATCAGTCCAGCCACCGGCGCCGACACCTCCCCCTATCCACGGCCAATCTGGGCCTTTTGCTCCTCCCGATGACGACGATGTGCGCCGGTCATCAGCAAGGCCGCGCCGGGGATCTGGGGGTGACCCCAGGCTCTCCAGAGAACGATCGTATCGTGCCTCGTCGCGAGATGCCATGGACGAGCCTCCCATCATCAGCGTTTCCCCATCCACTCGCCATCCCGCTGCATTCTTCACGCCTAGCTCGCCACCGAGGGGTGATCATCTCCCTCGAACAAAGACGATGCCACACGAACCAGTGTCGTACTCTCGATCACCTCCGGAGCTTCAAAGATCTCAGACATTCCACATGTTTGAAACCGCCGATCACCCACGTGGTCGCGATCGATCACGCATGCAATCCCAAGTCGACGACGGTGAGGACCGCTACGAGAGGCGCCGAGATAAAAAACATCGAAGCAGAAGACGACATCACTCCCCAGACCCAATGAGAACAGAGAATGTGTCTCGATACCGAGTCGAGCGCAGCACACTTGATGGCGCGTACACTCGTCGGGTCGACCCCGACATTATAGAGTCGTACACCGGCTATTATCACCCTCAGGACAGCCGACCTTCAATGCCGGGTCGTGAAACCAGTTACAGCAACTCAGGTGGCGCCAACTTCCCAAAGGTCAAGACAGCCAAGGCCTACGGGTATGAAGACGTTTCATACAGTACCTACGGAAGGCCTACCCGCGAGTTTGTATATACTACATGAAATGGCGTTTGGTTATTTGCGGCACCCTTTTTTTTTGGCATTTGCTATTTGAGAGAAACTCAACAAACTTGAACATACTTTCACATTTAATGTCGTTTTGGCTTTGGGCATGTGGATTACTGGTCGGCTTTTCCACTTTACATGCCTGCTTGTCTTTACTTTCCGTTGTTTTCTTCTTTTTTTATTCCATGAACGAATTGTGTTTCTAACGACTTATATGGACCTGATGGTTCGCGACGTATTCTACGATGAGTCTTGTCGAGAAGACGTGTTGCGTGTGCTTTTGTGGTCAAGGAATCATGGCACTTGGAGTTTGGGCTTTCCCGCAGGTCAAGCAGTGTTCGTCGTTGCTTTATTCATGCATCTTGAGCACCAGTTGCTGGCTGTGAGGCGTGGCAAGTTTTGCTCGCTAGTTGTACATTTTGGGATAAGCAGGGCGCGTCCAAGATGAGATGCTCTATTATATTTTGGAAGAAGGGGTGAGCAGTTTTGTTCAAGTTCATGGAAGCAAATTGTATTTGCTTACACAGCACTACCATGGGTTTGACAGGATTTGACTTGCTCCGTGTTGACTATCACACTCGTTCGCTAGAGATTAGAGGATGGTCGAATACTAGCCGATTGAACTTTGCAATTCCCGCCTCCCTGCTTGTGTTGATTGTGCTGTGTTTAAAATGACGTGTATTTCAGAATGCTCCGCTCACGGCAGCGTTTCTCAAACCCAGTTTCTGCAACTCGACATGAGTGCACAGCCATTCATCATCTGTGTCGCCACAGAAGGGAGAAGCAACATGGGATCAGGGCAGGTTCGAAATAGGCCAGAGTGATTTTTCTGGGCACGTATCACTATGCGAACTCGCACAACAGTGTACAGCTACGACACGACGCAGCTATTTGGACTGGACAAATGCTCGCTTGCGTCGCTGACGGCACAAACCGTACTACGGGACTCGGCACGTCATGGTGTAGCCGCCCGAGGGAATCATGCAGCCGTATTCGCCCTGTCATTGTGAGTCTCGCTTCCGATGCCTGGGGGGCACAGCGGCGCCCTCCATTGGAAGATTTCGCAGGATGCGCAGCTTGTTTTGTGCCGCCGGTGTCGCCACGGGACGATGATGCATTTCCGCCTCCCCCCCCCCCCCCCCCTCCC